TTTCACAACATTTTGTAGTTTTCAGTATAGAGGTTTGACAGATTTATTCTTAGGTATGTTATAAAGTTGGTTTTGGTGCCACTTTAAATGAGATTTTAAAAATTTCACTTCCAAATTGTTTTCTCTGACATACAGTTAGAAGGAATAAATTCAAGGCTGGGTACAGTAGCTCATACCTTTAATTCTAGCATTTTGGGAGGCCGAGGCAGCTGGATCACTTGAGGTCAGGACTTTGAGACAAGCCTGGCCAACATGGTGAAACCCCACCTCTACTAAAAATACAAAATTATCTGGGCATGGTGGCACATGCCTGTAGTCCCAGCTGCTTTGGAGGCTGAGGCAGGAGAATTGTATGAACCCGGGAGATAGAGGTTGCAGTGAGCCAAGATTACACCACTGCACTCCAGCCTGGACAAGAGAGTAAGACTCCGTCTCAAAACAAAACAAACAAACAAAAAATAGATTCAATGTTTGATAGCATAGTAGGGTGACAAGGGTTAAAGAAAAACGTACTGTACTTGGGAGATTGACAGCCTAAATACCCCGACTTGACGCTGTATTTTTCATCATGACTGTCTCCTGTTTCTTTCTCTTTTGTTTTTGGAGATGGAGTCTCACTCTGTCACCCAGGCTGGAGTGCACTGGCATGATATTGGCTCACTGCAACCTCTGCCTCCTGGGTTCAGGAGGTTTTCCTGCCTCAGTCTCCCGAGTAGCTGGGATTATAGGCAACCACCACCACGCTCAGTTAAGTTTTGTATTTTTAGTAGAGGCAGGGTTGTGCCATTTTGGCCAGGCTGGTCTCAAACTCCTGACCTCAAGTGATTCACCCACCTAGGCCTCCCAAAGTGTGGGGATTACAGGCATGAGCCACCATGCACAGCCTCTTGTTCATTTCTATATCACCTGGGCGTTGGTCCAGTCCTAGAATGCAGAAGATAATAAATGTCTGAATGAATGAATGAATGAATGAAACAACTCCATTGTCCCTTTTTATAGATAAGAAATTTGGGGCTCAGAGACTGCCTGACCTAGGAAGCAGCAACAACTGGGGTATAAACCCAGTCCTCTCGGTTCCCAGATCAGTGATTCCTCTACTGCATCAAGAAAGTTGTAATTACTTGTCCTTGGTGTCTTGGAAAAAAAGAAAAAAGAAAGTTGTGATAACTAAGTACATATTTCATTTTATCTTCTTTCCAACTAATAGTTCTTAAGTGCTTCCTGCATGCCAGGAGGAAACTATTGGATGAAGCTATTAATGTCCTCTAGAGAGCACAGACAGCCATAAGATTTTGAAGAGGGAAAAAAAAAACCTTTCTGCTAGGCCCTGGCCTGAACCAATTATTGGTTACCTAAAGCAGTGACCTCGAAATAAAAATTCCCAGTACCCTCCCCCAGAAATTCTAATTCATGCATCTGAAAGAGAGGAGATGCCTGAAAATCTCCACTATAAACACTGCTCTTGGCTGATGTGGTATACAGCCAGCCACTGCACACAGTTCAGCAGGAAGGCAGCAGAAAGGAGGCTGAGGAGTAACCATCTTTATTACTGTATTCACATACATTAACTGAGCACATACCACATCCCAGTCACTGTTCTAAGTCCTAGGGATACAGTAGTGGACAAAACAGAATCCTTATTCTTGGGCCAGGCCCAATGGCTCATGCCTGTAATCCTAGCACTTTGGGAGGCCAAGGAGGGTGGATCAAGAGATCAAGACCATCCTGGCCAACATGGTGAAACCCTGTCTCTACTAAAAATACAAAACTTAGCTGGGCATGGTTGGCGCCCACCTGTAGTCCCAGCTACTCGGGAGGCAGGAGAAACACTTGAGCCTGAAGGCAGAGGTTGCAGTGAGCCAAGATCCTGCCGCTGCACTCCAGCCTGGTGACAGAGTAAGACTCCACCTCAAAAAAAAAAAAAAACACCCTTATTCTCCTTCATTCTATGGCCGGTTGGGGGTGTGAGATGGGGAGACAATGACCAAGTAAAGAAATAGGGCCAGATGCGGGTGGCTCATGCCTGTAGCTCCAGCACTTGGAGAGCTTGAGGCAGGTGGGTCATTTCAGCCCAGGAGTTTGAGACCAGCCTGAGCAATATGGTTAAACCCCATCTCTACCTAAACAAACAAACAAAAATTAGCCAGGTATGATGGTTCATGCCCGTAGTCCCAGCTACTCAGGAGGCTGAGGCAGGAGGATTACTTGAGGCTTAAAGGCAGAGAGAGGTAAGCTGAGATCATGCCTCTGCACTCCAGCCTGGGCAACAGAGCAAGACCCTGTCAAAGAACGAAAGAAAGAAAGAGAAAGAGAGAGGGAAGGAAGGAAGGAAGGAAGGAGGGAGGGAGGGAGGGAGGGAAGAAAGGAAAGAAAGAAAAAGAAAAGAAAGGAAGAAAGAAAGAAAGAAAAAGAAGAAAGAAAGAAGGAAAGAAAGAAAGAAAGAAAGAAAGAAAGAAAGAAAGAAAGAAAGAAAGAAAGAAAGACAAACATATAGGAAACCACTGCTTGTGGTGGTGATGGGTCTACAGTGATGTGCTGTGGGCTGAGAGAAGGCGTAACCTAGCTCTCTGAGGAGGTAACATTTGAGTTGATACCTGAATGACCAGAAGGCACCAATTCTAAAACAGGATAAAAATAATATAGGCAGACAGAATAGGAGATGGCAAAGTTACAGAGGGACAGACTTGGTATGTGAGACTGGTGTAGTGTGAACAAGGAGAAGAATAGCCTAAAATATGGTCAGACAGAGATAGCGAGGCAGGAATCATCACTGAAGGTCTTCAAACTAGGACAAGGGTTTAGAGTTTCTTCTGGAGAGTTTTAAGAAGGGGAGTGATGTGACATGATTGCTTTAACTGGCTTGTTTTAGCTGCTGGATGAAGACAAGAGTCTAGGGGTTCAATGTGGGAGAAGGGAACCAGTGAGGAGGCTCAGAGGAGTCCACGCTAGAGATGATGGTGGCCTGGGACTGGGTGGTAAAGGTGGAGATGGAGAGAAATGCACAAATTTCTCAGGAGGCTTTGCTGGGGGATTGGACGTTGGATGTGCACGAATCTGCCTTTGCAAAATAATAACTGAGAAAATTATGACAGTGAAAGATATCAGATCTAACGAATCCCACCTTGCTTCTAATCTCTAAACCACCCTTGTTTATTCCTGGGTGTAGGCGGAACTAGCCTTGGGAAGGCATTTAGTTGATAGTTTAAAGCTAAATGGTTGTAAAACAAATGAAAGGCCACCAGTCACTAAGTTAGGAGAGAGGGGCTGGAATTCTAAGTATCATCAGCCATTATTCTGGAGGTCGTAAGATTTGCAGCTTTCCCAATTACTTTTGAAGGTAAGATCCCTATTGTGAACCCAAGATCAGCCTTTTGAGATGTCTTTGCATGTTTTTGTATTTCTAACAACCAGATGGCCCTGCCTGGACCTGCCAACCAGTTCTGTGGCTCCCGTGCAGGAGTTGACACATAAGAAAATAGCTTCTGGCCAGGCACGGTGGCTTACGCCTGTAATCCCAGCACTTTGGGAGGCTGAGGCAGGCGGATCATGAGGTCAAGAGATCGTGACCAATCTGGCCAACATGGTGAAATCTTGTCTTTACTAAAAATATAAAAATTAGCTGGGCATGGTAGCACACGCCTGTAGTCCCAGCTAATCAGGGAGGCTGAGGCAGGAGAATCATCTGAACCCAGGAGTTGGAGGTTGCAGTAGGCCGAGATCACTCCACTGCACTCCAGCCTGGTGACAGAGCGAGACTCCGTCTAAAACAAGCAAACAAAACAACAACAAACAGCTTCGACTCCCTAGGATTTCATCTCTGAGCCAACCAGTCAGCACTCCTGATTCACTGGGCCCCTAACCACCAAATTACCCTTAAAAACTCTGATCCCCAAGTTTTCAGAGAAACTGATTTGAGTAGTAATAAAACTTGGGTTTCCCACACAGCCAACTCTGTGTGAATTACTCTCTCTCCATTGCAATTCCCTTGTCTTGATAAACTGGCTCTGTTTAGGCAGCAAGCAAGGTGAACCCACTGGGTGGTTACCTGTGTGTGGTGGTGCAGGGGGTGGGGATGAAGTAACCATCCAGTGGATTCTTTCTTCTTGCCTGCTGCCCAGATAGAGCCAATTTATCAAGACAGAAGAATCTGAATAGAGAACCAGTTTTGCCCAGGTGGAGCCAGTTAAATGGAAGACTGGAGTTTTACTATTACTCAAATCAACCTCCCCCAAAATTTGCAGGCTAGCAAGTTTTTCAAACATAGTTTGGGGGAAGGAGGCTGGCTAGAGAATGGGTGTTGCTGATTGGTTGAGGGTGCAATGATAGGGGTGTGGAAAATGGTCCTTCATGCTGAGTCTGCTTCTGGGTGGGGCCATAGGACTGGAAACCTGAAAATACATCTCAAAATGCTAATCTCAGGTTCTACAGTAGTGGTATGGTCCATAGAAGTAATTGGGGAAGTTGGAATCTAGTAATCATTTCTCTGTACACCATAGCAGAATTCAGGCTTCTCTCATCCTCCTAACCTCGTGGTCTCTCATTAGCTTTAAAAGGTGGTTTAGTTTGGGGGAAGAGCCATGATCACTTAAACTATAAATTAAATTTCTCCCAAAGTTAACTTGGCGCAAGCCTAGGAATGACTCAGGGCAGTTTGAGTCATGTTTTTTTCATTGTTAATGAATGTTTATTGTTAATGAAACCGTGGTATATTTACAGTAAGCGACAGCATTATTGTACAGTTAAAGTATCATACAATATTACAGCAATAAAATAATGACTATTTCTTTGTACATCCAGCCAAGCAGCTAGTCAAAATATTTTCCAGGATTGCAAGCCCCTGGGGGCTTTTCAGGGTAGCCTGAGTGACGCCTCCTGAAACGTCTGGGGCTTTTGGTGAATAAATAGTTTCTAAGGTGTCAATCGTTTCTGTTGGAAGAAGGGTTTTTCCCTTCCTTTTGGGATTTTCATTGCCTTTTTTTTTCTTTTTTCTTTTTAAAATTTTGGAGAAGGGAAGTCGGTACACCAGGAAGGACCGCTCACCTGCAAACTCAGGGTTGGCGGCGGGACTCCAGGACCCTGGGTCCAGCCTGGAGGTGGTGGACCCGCCGCAGCTGGGCATGTTCACAGAGGGTGAGCTGATGTCGGTTGGCATGGACACGTTCATCCACCGCATCGACTCCACCGAGGTCATCTACCAGCCGCGCTGCAAGCGGGCCAAGCTCATTGGCAAGTACCTGATGGGGGACCTGCTTGGGGAAGGCTCCTACGGCAAAGTGAAGGAGGTGCTGGACTCGGAGACCCTGTGTTGGAGGGCCGTCAAGATTCTCAAGAAGAAGTTGTGAAGGATCCCCAACGGCGAGGCCAACGTGAAGAAGGAAATTCAGTTGCTGAGGAGGTTACGGCACAAAAACGTCATCCAGCTGGTGGATGTGTTATACAACGAAGAGAAGCAGAAAATGTACATGGTAATGGAGTACTGTGTGTGCGACATTCAGGAGATGCTGGACAGCGTGCCCTAGAAGCGCTTCCCACTGTGCCAGGCCCATGGGTACTTCTGCCAGCTGATCGACGGCCTGGAGTACCTGCACAGCCAGGGCATCGTGCACAAAGACATCAAGCCGGGGAATCTACTGCTGACCACCTGCGGCACCCTCAAGATCTCCGACCTGGGCGTGGCTGAGGCACTGCACCCGTTTGCGGCAGACGACACCTGTCGGACCAGCCAGGGCTCCCCGGCGTTCCAGCCCGCCCCTCCCCCCCCCCCCCCCCCGAGATTGCCAACGACCTGGACACCTTCTCCGGCTTCAAGGTGGACATCTGGTCGGCTGGGGTCACACTCTACAACATCACCACCCCTTCGAAGGGGACAACATCTATAAGCTGTTTGAGAACATCAGGAAGGGGAACTACGTGATCCCAGGTAACTGTGGCCCCCGGCTCTCCGACCTGCTGAAAGGGATGCTTGATTATGAGCCGGCCAAGCACAGCTGGTTCCGGAAAAAACACCCACCAGCTGAGGCGCCGGTGCCCATCCCACCGAGTCTGGACACCAAGGACCAGTGGCGCAGCATGACCGTGGTGCCATACCTGGAAGGCTTGCACGGTGCCGACGAGGACGAGGACCTCTTTGATATTGAGGATGACATCATCTACACTCAGGACTTCACGGTGCCCGGACAGGTCCCAGAAGAGGAGGCCAGTCAGAACGGACAGAGCTGGGGCCTGCCCGAAGCCGTGTGCATGAACAGCACGGAGACGGCGCAGCTGAGCACCAAATCCAAGGCGGAGGGCCGGGCCTCCAACCCCGCCCGCAAGGCCTGCTCGGCCAGCAGCAAGATCCGCCGGCTGTCGGCCTGCCAGCAGCAATGAGGGTGTACGCCAGGCCCTCCGTCTTCCTGCCAGTCCCGCCCTCCTGGAGAGGTGGCCGCCTGCCTCTGTGCTGACCGCGCCCCAGGACCTCAGGAGCCCCTGCAGGGCCGGGCCGAAGGACCGCAGGGACCCGGCGCAGCTGTGTCCGCCGCCCGGCAGGGCCCGCAGCTGTTTGACTTGGTGGCCCCGGGCCGGTGAGGGAGGCGGGAGGCGGCCCGATGCACTTTACGTGGAGACTGCTGGCCCCGCCGTGGCCTGAGCTGCGCAGACCCGCGCCACGGAGACCAGCCTGTCCCACCATGCAGCGCCGCCCGGGAGCCGCGGAGGCCGCCTCAGTTTTGTTTGGTTGGTTCCATTTTTCTATTTCTTTTTAAGAAAAAATAAAAGGTGGATTTGAAAAAAAGAAAAAAAGGCAAGATAGGGGTTGCTTAGATCATATCTTTTTCACAGTCAATTTTCCCACTCTTAGAATTTTTGCAAAGGTGGTTTCTATGAGGACAGAGAAGAATCAAGAATGACTCCTAGGTTTGAACTTAAATATCTGGATGAATGATAAGTCACTTACTGAAATGGAAGAATTGGGGGGGATATACTGGGCTGAATAGTGTCCCCTAAAATTCGTGTCCACTGACAAAGACTTCTTGACAAACTTTGGACAGGCTCCTCTGAGATCTCTTTTCAACTAGGCCTCACCTTAGGCCTAGAAAAGATTCTCAGGACAAGTAGTTTTGCTCAGCCCCGACCCCCAACCCCCACCCCTACTAAAAAACTTGAACAAATACTAACATAGTTTCTAAACTATGTGGCTCAAGGCCACATCCCTAGGATGACCTTAGACACACTTTTAATTTTTTAATTTAAATTTTTTTAATTTAATCTTTTTATTTCATTTAAAGACAGGGCTTCGCCATGTTGGACAGGCTGGTTTCGAACTCCTGACCTCAAGTGATCCACCCGCGTCGGCCTCCCAAAGTGCTGGGATTACAGGTATGAGCCACCATGCCCAGCCTTGACCTTGGCCACTTTTAAAGTGTCTGCCCGAGAAGGCTCAAGCCTGCCAGGAGAATCACTGTTTTTTCCAGCCAAAACCTGATTATAGACACAAATAGCCCTGAATCACTCACCCCACCCCCACTTAAGAGCAGTTCCTTTGCAGCTGTAAATTCTGTCTCTCCATCTTTGAGATGTATCTCTTTCACTACCAAGAACTGTCTCTAGAGGAGAGCCTCTCCTTGAAATGGAAACATTCGGGGAAATAACTCCCACACTCAGCTGGTGGGCTCCTTGCTCTAACTTGCACTGCTAGTTGCTGTCCTGTGGATAGAGAAAAATAGAGAAGCTTGCTTTGCTTCTCCTCCAGACAAACACCAATTAACAGACTCAGTCCCTGCATGAACCTCTTCTGCCCATCCCACAACTACTCCCCTTCCCTCCTCCCTCATTTTCCTCTGCACAAATTGAAGTTGATTAATTTTTGCCCCTTAATTTGCATGTAATTAAAAGTAAATATAGGCTGGGCATGGCGACTCACACCTGTAATCCCAGCATTTTGGGAGGCTGAGGCAAGTGGATCTCTTGAGGCCAGGGGTTCAAGACCAGCCTTGCCAACATAATGAAACCCCATCTCTACTAAAAATACAAAAAATAGCCAGACCTGGTGGTGTGCACCTGTAATTCCAGCTACTTGGGAGGCTGAGGCACAGAATTGCTCAAATTTGGGAGGCGGAGGCTGCAGTGAGTTGAGATGGCACCACTGCACTCCAGCCTGGGCGACAGGGCAAGACTCCATCTCAAAAAAAAAAAAAAAGTGAATACAAATATGATTACAAAACTGCCTGTGAGCTGCTATCTTGTCACACTGCCTTTGAGGTAGCCCTGTCCCATAAGGAGCAGGCCGTCTGCTGCTGTGTAGCAGGAGCAGCCGCAGGAAACGGATCTCTTGAACACCAAATACAGGAGGAAGTAGGGTTTATTTGGCCGGGAGCTTTGGGTGGTAATCTGTCCAAAACCCAGATCCCCTAACAAATGAACGTTCTGTCTTTATATAGGCTTACACTTTAGATGTTAACCGTGGAAGAATCTTAGGTTTATAACTTTACATATGAAAAGGGTCTTGGTTTACAGTCTAAGGAATTAAATATGAAAAGGTTTCGGTTTACAGTTTTAGGAATCACATATGAAAAGGGAAGTTGATCTGAGATGCCTGGATCTCCTTCTTCACCTGGACACTGCAGCTTCAATAAAGGTTGCTAACACCATGGCTCACCCTTAAATTCTTTCCTGGGAGAAACCAAAAACCCTCCTGGGCTAAACCCCAATTCTGGGGCTTGCCTGCCCTATATCAATATTATACTTGAGCACACCGCTCTCCTAGACATTTGACAAACATTACCTCTGTTTTCCCATCAGGTCTGTGAGGTGGTGTAGTTCTTGCCATTTGACAGGTAAGTTCGCTGAGGCTCACAGAGGTCCCATGTCGCAGCCCCTGTATGGGTCAATGCTATGACTGAAACCCAAGTAGGTGTCACACACCTCATGCCTGTCCATCACTCCACTCAGCAGTCAATGCAGGAAAAGGCTGGTTTCTGATGCACCTGGTGTCTGAGAGAAGTTTTGGTTCTTTCATTTTTCAGTTTTGCCCTGGCCTAGGGCCCAGGCCCTACTCCTGAAGTCAGGCTTGTCCCAGGAGAGGAGACACCAGGGTGGGTGGTTATCTCAGTGGTTGCTGTGAGCTCCATCCAGCTCAGGTGAGTCTTGGTATCCTGGCTTCTCAAAACTTGCCAGTGCACACGAAAAGGGATTTGATTAAAACGAAGTTTCTGACTCAGCAGGACAAGGGTAGAGTCCACATCTGTCTCTTTTTTGTTTCCAGCATCCAAAATATTTTTTTTTTTTGAGATGGAGTTTCGCTCTTGTTACCCAGGCTGGAGTGCAATGGCACGATCTCGGCTAACCACAACCTCCGCCTCCTGGGTTCAGGCAATTCTCCTGCCTCAGCCTCCCGAGTAGCTGGGATTACAGGCACGCAGCACCGTGCCCAGCTAATTTTTTGTATTTTTAGTAGAGACGGGGTTTCACCATGTTGACCAAAATGGTCTCGATCTCTTGACCTCATGATCCACCCTCCTTGGCCTCCCAAAGTGCTGGGATTACAGGCTTGAGCCACCGTGCCTGGCCTCCAAAATCTTTTTAATAAGAGGGCAGGATCCAGGACTAGTTTTTGTCACCTTGGCTGGCCAGTTGGCCTCTGGAGCGCTGTAACTTCCGGGCCTTGGAGCGGAAGTGGGGTTTGGTATGGCTGCGCGGGGTTCCCCGGCCTTGCTGAAACACCTTTGGGCCCTTGTGAGGGCTGGAGGACGGTGCTGAAGCCCTTGTGGGAGTCCAGGGCCAGCTGGTCGAAAGTGAGGCCCTTTCCGCCCCCACCCCAACCCTCTGCCCTGAGGATGCGGCTGCAGGCTGGCTGGTCCACACACAGCGCACACACCTTCAGTTTGCATACCCCGTGAACCCGCATTTCATCCATTGTGGTCCCCACAACCATGACCATTTTGTTTTCCTGGCCAGGAAGCTTCATCTTCCAGATCATCCAGGAAAGGGAAAGACATGGCAATTGGTGTGACTCATAAACAACCTCTTCAGCACAACCTAGTTGAATGTGAAGTTGGTTCATCTGGCCAGAAACCTGCACAGCTTGACCAACAGCCTCAGCTGGGTATCCTTATCCTGGCTCTTGGGCTTATTGCACTGGACCTTTTGGTCCTTGCTGTGGCGGATGTCAACTCCCATGTTGGCGCCTCCTGCTTGGCCAGGTCTGGAAAGCCACATTTCTAATATCTAACAAGCCCTGGGTGATGTTGTTACCAAGGTCCACCCACCGTAGTTTGTAGAGGGCCGTAGAGGTGGGAGTGGGGTGGGGTAGGCGTCAGGGGAGGGAAACAGAGGAGGCGGTGGGTGGACAGCTGTGCTCATCCTCACTTGTAATTTAATCTTGTAAACTGTCATTCGTAACCTCAACACCCACACCCCCTCCCCTGTCAATATGATCAAGAAAGAATATCAGAACATCTGTGTTCTTGGTCTCCCAGCAAAGGCCACCCAGTCAGGACCCCAGGGTGTGGCAGGCAAGTCCCTTTCTCTCCCTGAAGCCCCAGTGATTCCAACTCCAGGTGCTTATGCTGGGGTGGGGGCAGGGCACTGTGAATCTGCAGCTGCTCCCCACTTTGCTGGGGGAAGTGCATGGTATGTGGGAAGAGGTGAGGAGAGGCCTTTCCTCTTCCAAGAACTTCTGGTCTGGACCCCAGGTCACAGGTGTTAATGAAGATGGAGAAATGGCCTCTTGCTAATGGGTCTTTTAAGGTTTGCCTGAGCCAGCAGGGTGGGCAGGGGACAGGGAGGAATTTGTGCTTCCCAGCAGAGCCAGGAACCCGCTGGATGCACAGCTTTGACCTTGGCTCATTGTAAACATGCTCTAATGTGGGGCGTTGAAGCCAGGAGATGGGACAGTGATTATTGTGGATAATCGCTTATTATCTTACAGTTAATTTATAAATTCCAGTCAAGGTCCTAAAGGAATTGTTTGAAGGGAGGGTGGTAGTGATCTTGATAAATTCCTTTTAAAATCACTGGTAAATGGGAGAGAAAAATCAAGTAAATGCTGAAAGAAAAAAATAATGTGGGCGGCCATAACAGTTATAAAAAATATACCAATGTAATGTAATAGAAAGCCCAGAAGTCGCAAGTATACTTTAAATATTTAGAAAATGATGCATTTGGCATTTCAAAATGGCGAGGAAATAAATGTGGCTGAAATGATTAAGGATTTGATGTTTCTTCAAACCACATGCTAATGTAAATTTCAAATGGGATAAAGAGTTGAATGTAAAAAAGGATACCAAAAAATAAAAGAATGAAATAGAGGAAAACATTTATATAATGTCAAATGTGAGGGAGGCCATCCTAAGTTTAACATGGAAATCAGAAACCATAAAGGAAAGATTGGAAATGTGACTGCAAAAAGATTTGTTTATGATTCACAAATATCATAAACAAAATTAATAAGCAAATGATAAAGCAGGAGAATTCAATGTATGTTAGACAGAGGGTTAAGTTTGGTACAAATCAGTAGGAAGAAGACATATTCCCAATAGGAATGGGCACAGGGCATGGGATATGTAGTTTAAAAATATGTAGAAATGGCCGGGCGAGGTGGCTCACACCTGTAATCCCAGCATTTTGGGAGGCTGAGGCAAGTGGATCACCTGAGGTCAGGAGTTTAAGGCCAGCCTAGCCAACATGGTGAAACTCTGTCTCTACTAAAAAATACAAAAATTAGCCAGGCATGGTGGCAAGTGCCTGTAGTCCCAGCTACTTGGGAGGCTGAGGCAGGACAATCTCTTGAACCTGGGAGGCAGAGTTGCAAGACTTCATCTCAAAAATTAAAAAAGTAGAAATGACCAGTAAATATGAGAGTAATAAAAGAAATGTGGCCAAACACAGTGACTCATGAGAGTAATTCTAGCACTTTGGGAGGTCAAAGTATAAGAATTGCTTGGAGCTAGCAGTCTGACACCA